AATTTAGCATATACATATAATTGTTTTATCTTATTGACATGCAGCAAAATTGTATATTTAAGTTAAAAATATTTTATATTATTTAATCTGCATATATACTTTTAAATATATAATTTTGGGGTTACTTTGGGAAAAATATCACCTGCCTTTCGAACGTTTAATCAGATAGACGATATTTTTATACTTGTATTTGCTATCTGTAGATTAAATAATTTAATTAGATAAATTACTTTTAAACGAAATTTTTTCCGTTTCTTATACAATTTCAGAATTAAATTAGTTTAATTCTAAATTTAGAATGTTACAATTGGAGGATATGTGGTTCTGTATTTCATCTTGTTAATCAAACATGATCTATTATCAGATCTATCGTAAAGAGCTGATAAGAAATGCAGATAATATTCAAGTATTGATTTAAAATCATTGTTTTATTATACGAATTATATAGTGATTTTTATTTGAAATCTCCATATTTTTCCACACAAATTTCGAATTCGTATTTCGAAAACAATAAAATAATTTCTTCGAAAGCTTTAATAATACTGTTGTTGTTATTTACATCATTTGTTTCTATAATAATATCAATTGTTACTTGCAAATTAAAATCAGTTAACATGCTACAGAAATTATATCTAGAAGAATTTCGTAAGCATTTTACTAAAAAGATATTTATGTTTGCTTGTTTGATTTTTGAGAGGGGTGAGAAGTTAGTGGCAAAATGGGCTACCACAAAAACTGAAGAAAAAAAAAAGTCCGACATTTGGAAATTTTTAACAGACACTCTTATTCCAGAAAGTATAAACTGATGCTTAATCCACGAAATTGGTTCCATATCTGCGAAAGAAGTAATCTCTGTATCTTCTGTAAGCTTCATCCTCTGCTTGGGGTAACCTTGTTTGGAAATAAAATTCTTCGGGTTGAAAGAAGCCGCCGGGGATAGGTTTTTGTTCCAAAGGCCCCTTGTAGTTGTAGACGTCCCAGAATTGAGCCAGCAGAGGGTCTTCGAATCGGAAATATGGTAGGGGAGGCATGCCACCTAGAGGTGCTGAAAGAGGATATGGATGACCGTTCCCTGCAATGGAGGCAGTTTGTAGAAGAATCATCGTCATAACAATCAACAGCTGTTTCTGAAAAACATGAATCGTAAGTATAAAACTTCGCTGTAAAAACAAATAAAATATCACATGTTATCGACAAATTAATATACAACCCATTAATCAACCCATTATTTTATAATCGTATTTTACTTATGGGTTAAAAGTCTCCCTGTTACTACAGATTGGAAACTGAGCCTTTGAAGACATGGTAACTTTCCAAATATGAAAGCTATTTTATGATGGCATCATCTCGCTACCAAGTTTTGATGCTTGAATTGATTCAGTCTAAGCTCTCATAAAATGCTAAATATTACCGTGATTTAATTTTGTCGATAGCACCAAAGCCAAATCGATACTCAAGTGATCTTTTACATACCACATAATTATATGACATGCCTGCCTGCAATTTTTGCAGTCTCCCTGTTACTTTTATCTCCTGCATTTATAGTATTTCTATACACTTTTAAAATATTATTTAATCTCTGATGGCGTAACAGTTAGTATTCGATAGATAACCACAGTCGCATAGGTGTTCTTTTCAAATTCCTACTCTATTAGTTCACTCTCTCCTTGTGTGTATATTTATATATTGTTCGAATTTTCAATCGTTAATAAAATACTTTTTATTAATCCACTGAAGTTTAAATAGATTTTTTAAAACTTGTATTGGAAGGCACTTGATATATCTTAATACAGTTATTTTTCAAATATAAATTCAGTAATTAAATTTTATTTTTTAATTTTAAATTTATTCTGCGTTATTTCTGACGCAGTTAGGTTTATCGGCAACAGATGGCGCCAGTAAGTTCTTCTAACAAAGTAGGAATTGACTTAAAAAGTTCTTTTATATTACTTGTTTTGAATCATTTCTCGACTGTCCATTGCCACCGAGGTAGCCGAGTGGCCATGGTCTTGGTCGCCAATATTTCAATCCAATAAAGCAGCGGTCCGACGTGGTCCGGACCCCTGGGGTCCCCAGCACTTTTCTAGGGGTTCCACAAAGGTCTCTCGCTTATTGACTCTGAAAGGCCTCTTGAAAGAAATTTTTAGTTGTCCCATCCTAGACTAGATCCTAAATTGTCTCCAATGAAAATACTCTACTAGAACATTGGAATCAAGAATATCAATTCGGATTTTTAATATTCAAGAAATATTAATTCAGTTAAAGGGGGGGTAAAAGAAAAAAGTTTGTATAAATAGCAGGGTCAGTCTTAAGATTATTGAGGAAACTTTAAATCACTCCGCCATGTGTTGGGAGTCAGGTAGATATGTTCAAGTTCTCTCTTGGGATCCGCGATTTCATATTGATATGTACGGGAGGGGGAACGGCGATCGAAAGTTTAAGAGCACCCCATTTATTATTATTATTATTGATATTTAAAACATTTCACTGATCCGTTTGATATCCATTTGAGATAAAAAAAAATTCTGAAAATGACAAGTTTTTCAAAAATTTGGTTATATTTTAAAACATTTTAAATATAAAAAAAATCTGACTATGCATAATATCTCCGAAATTTTTGGAAAAAGGGTGAACTCTTATCTTTTTAACAGGTTTGCAAAGTATTTCAATTCGAATTCCATTTAACTTTTTTTAAACCGATGTATTTTTAAAAATCTGTAAACACCATCTCTTTCCTTCGAATCAGTTTGGAGTCTTGTATAAAACAAACCTCCCCTTTTTTATATAAATTTCCTAACTACAACATATATATATATATATATATGACAATCGTGTGGTCCAAGGATCATTGTGAATATATTTATTGATATAACCCGCAAATCATTTAAATTTATTAATTTGCCCCTCGAGGTGAATGGTTGAAGAACCCTAATTTACGCCATTAACAGAATATCATAGCATAGAAAACAAAGCTAATAAATACCCTTTTGTTTTCTCTCTAATTTCATGTATATATTCTTAGTGAAATTATTACCTTTAAGTCCTTATGCGTAATTATTAATATTACGATTATCTTGAATGCTTTGTGTGTTTTTGTATTATAGAGAAAAATGTATGATATTTTTGTGAATAATTTTTTTTCTTTTTTTAAAAAAAGGAGGGGGGGGGAGATGATGTGGAGAAAAAAGTTTTGGAACCCCTGCTCTTGAGCAACTTCAATTCAAAACATTGAACTTTATTTTGCCGAACAAATCAGTTGTTTAGTCTGAAAAGCGAACTCTTAAAAGTTTGTGGAAAAGTTAAGACCTCCTGCCCCACTGAGTCAACATTTCGAAATTGTAATCCTTACGTGATTTTTTTCAGCAAAACTTTTTCAAAATTTGTTTTCGGGGGTAGACACACAATAGACGACGGAACAGACGGTACTTTTAACGTTGTGGTGCGATTCACGCGTTACGCAACTGGGGAAATATTGAGGTTAAAAGTAAAACTAGGAATTTTGAGAAATATATATATATATATATATTGAAGACATTCTCTCGGATTTTATTTAAAACGAAAATAAAATGAATGCATTCGTGTACGCGTAATTTAATTTCATGTAATTAAACTGTTAACTGTGTAATATTAAGGTATCTGACTATACGTTCGGAACCGTGATTTTGCAAAAGCGCATATGGATAATTTTCATGATATTTAGTGTCACTTAGATTAGAATATATGCATAAAATTGTTTTAAGGACATTTTGACAAAAAGAATTTATTTAAATATAATATTTTGGCAAAAAATTAACTTAGAATTACCATTTTTCCAAATGTTCTCCTTTTGTAAAAAATGCTTCTATTGTAATAATATTTTGCCTGTATATAGCTCAGACCTCTCTACAGAGGCTCAACAAGAATTTTTGAAATATGTAACTTAGAAGTGGGTTTATCCATATTTTACGACAACAGAGGGGAGAAATTTTAAGACAAAAAACGCCGATAATTATTTCAATTGGTTGTAACTCTGAAAATAATGTGAATTTTTCAAAAATCATAGTTGAGCCTCTGTAAAGAGGTCTGAGCTGTATATAGGCAAAATTTTATAATAATAGAAGCAGTTTTCACAAAAGGAGATTATTTTGAAAAAAGATTATTCTCTAAGTTGATTTTTTGCCGAAATATTGTATTTAAATAATTTTTTTTTGTTATGAAAATGTCCTTAAAACAATTTTATACATGTATTCTAATCTAAGCGACATTAAATATCATGAAAAGTATCCATTTATGCGCTTTTTTTAAAATCACGGTTCCGAACGTAGCCGGATATCTTAAACTGTTAATTAACTGTAACTGTTAACTTATCTGGTTTCAGTAGCCGAGTGAACATAGTCTCAGACTCGTGGCCATTGTTGTCGACTCATGCACTCGAGTCCTGATACTTATGAAGAAATAACCGTATACAGGGATCGATGCACGTTCAATCGGTGGTGGCTCCATGTCCTCACACTGGTGGGGTATGAAAGTTTGGAAAGCGAGTAGTCAGTTAGGTCACATGACAGAGATTCAAGATCAATAATAAGGGAAGGGGTCTAAAATGAATCACTTTCCTTCCTGTATTGGGGTTCTTTTATTTAAAATAGGAAACATTTAGAATTAGAAGTACTAATAAGAAGTGGTGGCATCATTTGAATAGCTATAAAATCTGAGGTTTTTTTTAGACATGTTTTGTTTTGTTTTGTGCTTTTTTCTTTTTTGTTGTTTTCAATTCCTACTATTAGTTCACTCTCTCCCTGTATTATATATATATCTTGTTCAAACTTTCAATCGTTAATAAAATACTTTCTATTCATCCATTCAAGTTCAAATACATTTTTTTAAACTTGTAGTGGATGGCACTTGATGTGAATACAGTTTTTTCAAATATTAATTCATTAATTAAATTAAAAAATGAATAAAAAGCGTCAAACAAAAATAATATTACACTAGCATATATAGAAAGGAAAATCGTTCATTGTATCCCTGTAGCGCAATGGATAGTGCGTTGGACATCTCATCCAAAAGTCGTGGGTTCAACTCCCGCTTGGGATGGCCCAATTTCTGAGAATGGCATTTCTTTTTTACTATACTATTTTGTTAGAATAATTAAATTTAATAAAGGAATAAATAGTAACAAAAAAGTAGTACAACACCATGTATAGGAAAGGAAAATATAAAAATTGCAATGAAAATCGTTTTCTATTTTGTTACTTAATATTGTGATTATATTACATGTACATAAATATTTATATTAATTGTAACTATTTAATAAAAAGTAACTAAAATAAAAATTTTCTCTGTTGACCTAAGTAGGAATTAGCTTAAATTTTTTTTTATATTACTTCTCTCTCTCTCTTTTTTCTGTTTTTGATTTTGTACTAATTGATCAAACGTATTGGAGAAATTCATAGTACATGTTATTTTTCAGAGCAAGGTCGAATGCTATTTTTTTTTCTTTCTTATTTCCCAAGTCTCTCGCTTTCTCTTTGTTTTGTAAATTCTGTTTCTAGACTTGCCTGTAAGTTATGTACACTTGCCTTGGTTTATTAATCTTGTAAAAAAAAAAAAAAAAAAAAAAGAACGATAAAATTCTTGTTTTATGAAGCATAGTTACATGGCGGGGGTTGTTTCCCAGTTAATAGCTCTGTATTCTTTCAGTGAGCTTGGTTCCTTAGGGCAAGTTCTCTCCAGAGTGCGACTTTAATGAATAATTAATTAATATGAGTGGCGCACACAAGGGGTCCCAGGTTCCAGACCCCTCCCACTTTATTTTTTTCCCCGAGTGATTATAATTCCATGTATTTAGTACATAAAATTTAATTATTTGTTGTTAATAATTTATTTTATTAGTTAATTCTAATTATTTACTCTATAGTTTTTTTTTTGTTTGTTCCCGACTACATATAGACAAAATCAAAAGGTTATGTTTGGCGGCGTTTTGGGGTATGGTACAAGAATGAAAGATTTTCGACCCCCGAAAGATTTGAGAAATTCCTGTGCGTGCCACTGATTAATATTAATTTTATATAAAGTCATGATAACCCAGTGTTTTCGGGACATGTGCCAGAAAAAGGCTTTTTGACTGATAGAAATTTTGGCTTGAAAACATGCAGCCAGAAATTACCTTGCTATTTTTCAGTCATTCAGTGTCATTGTGAGTATCGAGAAACAATATTCTTTTCATTGATTCTTTAGTTTTAATTGTATTCTTTAAAAAAAATGAAAATTTTTGTGTGTGTTTCAAATGTTTCATGCGATTCGTAATTTTAAAAGGATGGACCAAAGCTACACCTTTCTATAGTTATTTTTTAACATGTAGCGTATGTAAAATTTCTCCCAACTAAAAGCTTACTATTTTTTACTTCTGTTAACGAAGTAGTTTTGAAACCCATGCTAAAATTCTTTATTTTACGTTTATATGTAATAATTTTATAAAATAGTTAAAAATTTTAAAAGCTCAAAGTTATAAATGCTGTTTTAAAGAATTACGTAACACAAATATCATTAAATAGCGACTGAAATGAATTTCGAGGGCATCAATTCGAGATTTTAGCATTTTGTATCCCACATTCCCTATCCGTTGGTGAGGTGTGGTAGTTAGGAGAGGTGGGTGTCCGCTCAGGTGTCATGCTTGGCGTTGGACTCAAAATGACGAGGTCCATCACTAATTTCTTTGTGTTGTGTCATTTAAACCACTCATTCAGATCAAATCAGAATTATCGCCAAATGATATGATATACCGCCAAAAATATATTCCAACTAGTGTAAATCCGGTTGGAATTGCGGCAATTTTATTTTCGGAGTTATACACCTGTATCTACATTTCGCGCATGTTACAAAAAAAAAAAAAGTTCAAGATCAAATAGTATTAACTGTGATTATAAATACTACTGAAATCATCTGTTAAAAGGCTAAAATCAAAAGAGATTACTTGCAACAAGTAGCGTTGGAAGAGATTAATGAAATTGAAAAATGAAGAAAAACTGATGAAAATGTTTTAGTGACACTCGCCGAGGATTTGAGGATTAGAAAAGGTGACACCTTCTCATTTACGGAAGAGGAGATTACATGTGATTACAGGTAGTACATAGATAATCCAACGTGTTTAACCTTGAAGCTATTACGTTTGCCTAAAACGATAAGTCGCAAAGTAAAGGGGAAAAATTAATACTTCTAGGTAACAAACTTATTTAAGTGTTTTTGACACATATCATTTTTAATCTTTCATGACTTTTGGAGCTAATATGTTTCTTATTAAGTATCAGACATATTACCAACACACATGCAATATAAATACATGAAATACTTGGATTTATTTCCCAGCTAACAGCATATTAGTTTATGTAATATATCTTCAAAAAAAACTTGAACCATGATTAAGGTTTGGGTCACCTTATACCTGGTTCAAGGGCATTTAACTGTAAGGTTAATCAAACTTAAGCCTTGGAAGGATTAAGGTGTGAACAAACTGACTTTTTTTTTATCCGTCAAAAATTCTTTTGCATAATTTCGAAATTCTCTGGCAAGGAGCTTTGTCAAAAAACTCATTTTAAGGGATACGGATTTTAATTTACACAAATAAAAAATTAGTTACATTTAATTAATAATTATGTCGTATATATATACAATTACCATATTTACTCGACCCTAAGCCGTACTTTTTTTCTAATGTTAATACTACTGAAAATGGGGTGCGGCTTAGAATCGAATGAAAAAAAAATTGTTGAATGGGGCAGTTAGAGCAATTATAAGTTCATGTATGCATTAAAAAGTTTATAATACATGTAAAAGAGCTAATTATTCACTTCTTATTAGTTATTTTAAAGGAATTTCGTAAAATTGGATATCGATGAACCATTTTGCTCCATTTTTCATGTTTCACAAAAATGTGTTGAGAACTTGGGGTGCGGCTAAGAATCGAATAAATACGGTAAATGCAAAAGATATTGCAATCTCTATACACAATATTCATTACACTTTAACCCCTTAACTGCCGAACAAAAGTGATGTGATTTGCTCTCCCCTTTTTCCAAATAGGAGCGCGTACACGGTGTATTGGGGAGGAGAAGAACAAGCACAAATAAGCATTTTTTTCTCTGAAATAAGTAAATCCCTTCGCAAACTCTGTCGAGGTCATTTTATTGCATTCCAAAGCCTTTGGAATAGTAGTATGGATAGCAGGACAAAGGAAAGGATAGTTCCTTTTATTCGGAATTCCGGATATATCCGTCCGGGACACTCCGGTGTGGTTGGGCGAGACGTATATATACACCATCGACAGTTAAGGGGATATCGGATTTTAATGGATGTCGTATTTAAATAAGACCTAAAATTTTTATTATCTCCTCCTTAACTGAATTCTGAAGCGTAAGTTTCAAATCATGATGAATAACGTAGAATTTATTTTGATTTTCAAACATTTTGTAAATTGTCTGAACGGTAGGAATAATACATGCAAACCTCCTAGAGGATGGTACAGTAATATCCCGAACTTACGCGATTGGTGGGATTTACTGATTAACGCATATGTCGAATTCGCGTGAGATGGGGTAAAATTTTGAATGTAAATACATATAAATTATTTTTAGTTGGCGCCTCAGACGAAAGAAAATAATTTAGAAAAAAAATTGTTGCACATATATATAAAATCTTAGATAACACAAATACGAAATCATAAATCGAAGTTATTTTAATGTAAAAGGTTTCATAAAATCTAACAAAGTAGTCTGTTGGCTCAAAGATTTTTTTTTCTCTCTCGTAAAATTTCTTTTTTGCATGCTAATAAATTTTTTGTTCCTGGTTTTGCTGAAAAAATATGGTCTTTGTTGGACACTATTTTCTAAAATTTGTAACCCTTTTTCATTTAAACAGATGACTTTCATAAAATTCCCAAGCATCATTCGATCTTCTGATTAAACTGGATCTAAAGACTCAGACTTCTACAATGGCTTGTTTTTGCTCACAAATTTCTATGAGCTCATAAATTGTCAGCTCCTGATTATAGAAATCCAACAGTTCTTGAACGTCATTGCTATCCACTTTTAAATTTATTTGCATAACAAGATCGAAAACTTCTTTAATTACATTACCAATTTCATCAGGTTCTGGCCCGATGTTCCGCCCGAGTTCTAATGATGGAAAAAAAGGAAAATAAATCGAAGAGATTTGTGACAAATCTATACGGAACTTTATCACTAACCTTCTGAGTCGTCTTTTTTAGGGAAATTTAATCCCCTACCTATTTCCAATCAGCTCCAAAAAGAGGACTAGATTCCTTGTTATGCAGATTAGATAAAGTATTTAAGTCAAACGGAATAGTAAAGTTATAGCAGTAGGAGAGAGAGAGATTGAAGTAAGAGTTATAATAGTGAATTTAGAAATATATTATTGGAGATTTCTAGGAGGATAAAATCTCAGAAAAAGCTGAGCTGAACTGCAGTGTGGTAAATATTGATTAAAGTCTCATTAAAGCTTTATATTAGGAGTGAGATTAAAGTTAAATGTTCAATAGGAACATTATTGAATATAAATCTGGGATCTCTTATCACGGTAATCTCTTCGTGATCGATATTCTAATTGTTAATTAATTGGATCATTAAATATTTAAGTTTATTTAAAGGAAAGTCCCTTTTAAACCTCATAAAACTATTTAGATATATTTGTTAATAAGTCTTTGATTCTATTTGGAAAAGATAACCAAATAAAGAAAGTTATTTATAAAAATGGCTACTGGCTCTTATATGGCTCCAACTTATTCTCGTTCTCAAAGTGAGGTCCAAGGGGACCTTCACAGATTTCAAAATCGCGTATCTCCGAGTTCACGTAAGTCGGAGTATTACTGTACTTTTATAATGTGGTATAGTGTGAGTGAGTGAAATTTTTTTAAGGTATCCGACTACGTTCGGAACCGTATAAATGGATAATATTTATGATATTTAGTGTCACTTAGATCAGAAAACGTATATAAAGTTGTTTTAAGAATATTATTACAATAAAAAATTATTTAAGGACAATATTTTAACAAAAAATGAACATAGAATGATCCATTTTCA